AATCTGGCTCCTGGCCCCCTCTGAATCTGGCTCCTGGCCCCTTGTCAATCTGGCTCATGGCCCTCCCTCAATCTGGCTCCTGGCCCCACTCTGAATCTGGCTCCTGGCCCCTTCTCAATCTGGCTCCTGGCCCCCCATGTGTCCAGCATGAGATGAGGTGGTGGACCTCCGGTCACTCAGTGGTGACGATTCCTCCCCCCCCCTGTCAGCTTACTTTCTCCTGGACGCTGTGTTCTGTGTTCCTTCGAGCACAGCGTGTGTCCTGCACAGGCCTCCTGGGTCTGTCAGCTGGTGGGGGCGGGGCCGGCTCCTCTCAGTGTGTGATCTGCCTGGCAGCTCCGTGCTCTGTGATCAATGGAGCGTTCAGAGCGGCCGTCGGGCACAGCTGGCCGGGCCGAACAGAAACAAGCTGATGATGTTCGGCCCGGCCCGGCCCACCGGGCAAGTGCCCGGTTTGCCCTATGGCCAGTCCGGCCCTGCCTCTATGTCCTGTACTGATGTGGGGGCCAGTGAATTTAGCAACAGAGCCCAGAGGCAGAACAGACATCCAGTACTCCTAAAGTGTTAGATGCTAAAAAATCTTTAGCCACAGTATGAGACGTGAGTCGTTTTAAAAAAAGTACTTAAAAAAAAAGATGAATCTCTTTGAAACTGAGAGTTGAAAAAAAAATCAACCCTTATGGGAGAAACCCAGAAAGTAAGAATGAGAGGTAGCCCCACCCCGTCCTCTCACATACCAGTGTTTTGTGTGAACAGGGCTAGGGAAGTGAGGTGCAGGAAGTGAGCAGAGATGTACATCCACATTTCTGGCCCATAATGGGTAAACATGCAATGTTTGTAGAGCTGCAGAATATTTTGCAAGGTATCTGCTACTCATGTAGTTTTAGGACACATCTTGGCAGACATCATACTAAATATCCATTGACAAAATAGCCTAAAATATTTGTCTAAGAGAATTGGACTAAAGAACTGGGCAACTTGCAAGTTAACCCTTGGAGTGGGTCTACCCCTGCACTGTAAGGGTTAACTGCTAGTTTTGGTCTAGGGTAAACAGCCTTCTGGCTGTTAGACCGCCCCCCCCCCCCCAGCCCTTTCTCCC